TTTCTGCTCACAGTTTGTCCTCGTGCACACAGAGAAAAACCAGAGACACAGCATGGCCTTTCCTCGGGAACTAACACAGGAAGCTTTTGTAGAGTGAGGAACCAGTGTCACTTTTTGTTTTGAACACTTGTGTTGAGAGGAGATCTCTCCAGTAGAGTTGTGCATGCTTGCATTTATGTTGGGTATCCTTCAGGGAGCAAAGTTTCATCCTGAAACCAGGGTATTTCCCCTGAGTAACTGGTGATATTCAAGTCCCAGCTGGCATTGACTTAGAAGATGGACAAGTTGGGAAGAAAGATGACTCTGAGCCCCATTCTTGCACGGCTTCACCAAAATTTGGTGTTTCCCAAGGGGTTTTCCATTGGTGGCTTTTCAAAGACCAGGTAGTGTTTGAAAGTTTAGTTCAGTTTTCTCTCTTATTTTGAAAAACAGCGCCTTGTTTTATGCAGAACTCTACCTTCATTTCCAAGCCACCAGTGCAAGCCTGGTATGCTGCAGAAGGCTACTTCTGGGGCAAAACAGTAAGTAAAATTACATTTAGATGCATCATGTGGCACTTGACATGCGTGAATGAAGATGAAAAGAAAGCTCCAAGAAAGTATGCAAGTCTGTCATCACAGGATTCCCCTTCAGCCAGTCAGTGAGCTGATGGATGGTAGCTTTTTAGGACTTGTGGGCAGTAGTGTGCTGCACCTGGTAGGTGGGGGTCTGCTTCTTCACTCTGAGACCGCAGAGCTTCCGTACCTGCATTGGAGGCAGGATGCAGGGAGGTGGTGTGCTCACACTGGCTTCAATGAAGGGCAACAGAGGGCACTTCAAAGCAAAGGGAAAATGTGGACAGAGATTTTATCTCACTTTGTGTGGCTTGCACAGCCCCACTCATATTTCCCCAGGCTCAAAGGGGACCCATAACCCACCCTAAGGTACCATAATTTTCCCTTCCATTCTTCGCAGTCAGAACATTAGAAAGTATGACCCATGTTAACATTCTTATGCATCACATTCCTCCTTTGTCTTCTGTGGGAAAAGTTTCAGCTTGGTTTCTTGATGTCACTGGAGTTGTTTACTGCCCCTTTTTTTTTCTGTATTTCCTACGTTATTCAGGTTATACTAATCACCAGAGGGGAAGGAAACAACTCCAGAGCAGATTGAATTGACGTTTAATTGGACATCCTGTGAAATAAACATTGTGACTTGGATAAGATTAAAATGTGAGTCACAAGTCTGGTGAGTTTTCAACTGTCAGGGAACGCAGTGAAGGAATGAGGGAAGAACAGCAAGGAGAGAGCAGCTAGAAGCAATGCTCAGTAGAGCAGCAGCTGCTGGACTTGCATGCTTGTTTTCATGAGGCTTATATTAAAAGTAGAGTGAACAAAACTAGAGAAAACAACCGACAGTTCTTTATTTAAGAATTATTACATTTTCAAACAGATTTTATTTTCTGTTTTTTTGCCTGTACTGAACCTGTCTGTGAATGCCCTCTAGCAGTAAACCACTGTCCAGCTCAGCTAAATTCTTGGATATTAAAGGTGAGTACTTAGAAGTGCTTCTGGAGAAGAAACCTTCAACAGGTTTGGCATCTTGCATGTACTCCCTTTTTATGTTTGATACTTTGCAATACTTCCAGTGAGTAGATTTGCTGGAAGAAACAATTTGCAAACACAGAAATGAGAACTATATTGTAGCATATTTGTTAAACTATGAATTGCAGATAACAGAATCACTGAATGGGTCAGGCTGGGAGGGACCACAGTGGCTCATCTGGTCCAACCTCCCTGCTCAAGCAGGGTCGGCCTAGAGCACATGGCACAGGATTGCATCCAGATGGTTCTTGAGTATCTCCAGTGAGGGGGTCTCCACAAACTCTCTGGGCAATCTGTTCCAGTGCTCAGTCCCCTGCACAGTACACAAGTTCTTCCTCATGCTCAGGTGGAACTTCCTGTGCATTGGTTTCTGCCTGGTGTCTCTTGTCCTATTGCTGGGCACCACTGAGCAGAGCCTGGCTCCATCCCCTTCACACCCTCCATTCAGATACTCACAGACATTGATGGGTTGCCTTCTCTGTCATCTCTTCTCGAGGCTGAACAGACCCAGCTCCCTCAGCCTTTCCTTCTGAGAGATGCTCCAGCCCCCTCATCGCCCTTGTAGCCTCTGCTGGACCCACTCCAGGAGCTCCATGTCCCTCCTGTGCTGAGGACCCAGAACTGGACACAGCACTCCAGATGTGCCTCACCAGGGCTGGGCAGAGGGGCAGGATCACATCCCTCAGCCAGTTGGCAATGCTCTGCCCAATGCACCCCAGGATGCCATTGGCCTTCTTGGCCGCAAGTACATTGCTGGCTCATGGACGGTTTGTTCTCCACCAGGACACCCAGGTGTCTTCCCAGCAGATCAACCCCCAGCCTGTTCTGGTATATGGGGTTATTCTTTTCCAAGTGCAGGACCCTGCATTTGCCTTTGTTGAATTTCAGATGCTTCTTCTCTGTCCGTCCCTCCAAGTTGTCAAGGTCCTTCTGAAGGTCTGCACAGCCTCTGAAATGTATAATCACAGCCTTTCACATGAGCCTCACTTGATTCACCTGATGCTACACATAAGGACTCTTAACAAACATCATGTCAGGATCCTACTTGGAATCATAGAATCATTGAATGGTTTGTGTTTGAAGGTCATCTTTAAAGGTTATCTAAGCCAGCTCTCTTACAATGAGTGAGGACATGTTCTTCTAGATCAGGTTGCTCAAAGCCTGATTCAACCTGAGCTTAAGTGTTTCCAGGAAAGGAGCATCCACCAGCTCTCTGGGCAACCTGTTGCAGTGTTTTACCACCCTCATTGTAAAACACTTCTTCCTTATAGCAAGTATAAATCTACTGTCTTTTAGTTTAAAACTGTTACCCCTTATCCTATCACAACAGACCAAGGACCACAACAAGGTTTCCACAGAGCCTTCCCCTCTCCAGGCTGAACAACCCCAACTCTCAGCCTTTCCTCATATGAGAGGTGCTCCAGCATTCTGATCATTTTTGTGTCCCTCTGCTGAACTCACTCCAACAGGTCTATGTCTTTACTCCAGAGCTGGACACAGCACTCTAGGTGGGGTCTTACCAGAGCAGAACAGAGCAGCAGAATCCCCGCCCTCAGCCTGCTGGCCGTGCTGCTCTGCATGCAGCCCAGGACACATTTGGCTTTCTGGGCCGTGAGTGCACATTGCTGGGTTATGTTCAGCTTTTCATCAAGCAGCACCAAGTCCTTCTCAGCAGGGCTGCTCTCGATCTGTTTCTCCACCAGCCTGTGCTGATACCAGGAATTGCCCTGATCTAAGTTCAGCACCTTGCACTTGGTCTTGCTAAATTATGTGAAATTCCTATGTGTTCACTTCTCAAACTTGTTGAGATTCATGCCATATGGATGGCATCTTGTCCTTCAGGTGTGTCAACCACAGCACTCAGTGTGGTGTCATCTCCAAATTTGCTGAGGGTGCACTTGAACCCCCCTGTCAATGTTGCTGATGAAACTACTGAACAGCACTGGTCCCAGTATGGAGCCTTGTAGGACACCACTTTTCCCCAGTGTGCCCTGGAACACTGAGCCATTGACTACTTCTTCACAAGCTACAAGCTAAGTCCAGCTCCTTCTCCTGGGCTGCTTTCTCCTTTGCCTCCATCCTGAGGTGAGGGAGAGGCTGGCTGTGGTGGAAGGTTTGGTGATGGAGGCAGCTGTCTGGGGCCAGACACCAGGTCAGTTGTTCTGTGTTGCACCTGTGGAATGGCTGATGGCAAACTTTGCTGGCTGCTGCCTCCCAGCAGTGGCTGCATAGCAGCCACCTGGGTGTGAAAAGCTCCCAGCCTTTGACAGCTCCCAGAGCTCTCTGATCCTTTGGACATTCATTGTAGCTTGGAAATTGTAAAGGTTGCTGGTTTGCTATTTGCCACCAGGTGGCCTAACCATTCCACCGTTCATGAGGAACGAGACTCCATTAGAGAACAGCAGCTGGAACTTTTTAAGCTTTACATATTTTTCTTCCCAAGCCTCCACCTCCCCTCCTTCCTCCTCATTCAGTTGATTAAAAGCGATCAGGGCTGCTCTGATTTATCAACTCAATCCTGTACTCTAAGCAATTGAGAAAGCTGGTGCTTCCAGCCAAGCAGCCTGAGCTTTAGAGATGAAGCTCAGCCGTCTCTGTTTACCTCTTAGCCCAAATGAACTCTTGCCATAACAACGCAGGTACCTAGGACTTTTCCTCGTGCAGCAGTAACTGGAGATTGATTCCTTTGTTTCTTGCCTCTGGTATGACTCTGGTAACTGGTTTTGTGACCACCCAGAAGTTCTGTGCTGGCCACATAAACTGGATTTATTTTTTTATAAGCTGCCTTGAGTCCCTGGAGCATTGCAGCATGGATTCAGTGGGCCAAATGATCTGAGTCAGTAAATGGGTTTTGATTTTTAAACCACAGACAGCAGTCCCCCTACTCAGTAGTTTCAGGATAGCCACGTGAGAACTGGCTGAGCTGAGGGCTCCTTGGGTTTCAAGGGAACTGGCATTGCAGCTCATGCATTAAAAGTTGGGACTGACTTCCCATCCTGGACTGAAAGGAGCCAGACTTACTGATCTGAAAATGGGAAGGAAGATACCTTTGCATGTTTATCTCAGGTGTTTTTTGATGAGAAGGGTGTGGAGAGCTCTAGCAGTATGTCACAGCAGTATGAACTAAGAAAAAAAAACATTGAAACCAATGGTATTACATTGACAGGCTGGTATTGGGAAGCCACTGAATGGCTTCTTAGGAGAAGGAAGCACAGTTTCAGGAGAAGATGGGTTTTTTAATGTACTGCAACACTGACAGCTTAGAAAAATGGTATTTTCTACCGTTTGCATAGTGCCTGAAATTTTTCAGAAGGTAGTTTCAAAACAAATCTCAGTAATAAAGTAGTTAACAATGATTATTTGGTTAAAACACCCATAATTCATTTATTTACCCCTCTTTGTAATTATGCATTTCAGCTTTGATTTAAGAAAGGACAAGGTGCAGTGATGACAGGCAGGACCATCATGTCAGAGCCCAGCAATAGAAGCATCTTCTCAAGATCAGTTCAACTCAGCTCTGGACTGGTGCCTGACAGTTCCAGATCAAAGGTATGCAGTTCTGAATGCCCCCCATCATAACACAATTGCAACCCAAGTCACAACTGCACTGGGCAGACTTTCCTAAACGATGTGGTGATTGAACTTTTAAAATAGTCATTTGGAGAAAATACCAGGAGTCCTTACATCTGGCAAATGAAATAGTTATAAATAATAAATACCTGGAAATTAGTAGATACATTTAGTTACATCACAAAAATGTCATGAAGTAGAGCTGGGTATTTCAGCTACTTCAACCTAGCCTTGGGCACAGGAGAGTCCAATTCTGATCATTTGCAGGATAAGCAATCAAGTTCAGGGTAAGGAGACTTTAGCCAAGGTGTTACCCTGGATTTACACCTCTGCAGATAGAATCAGATGCTATCTCCTAGTCTATGCATCCTCTGAGAATAGAATTAATTTTGAATTCTTGTATCATCTGCTTGCTTGTGCACTTATTTGCTAACTGTCTGACTGAGTGAGATATTCTGGGTCAGTATGATTTAGGCATCCTTTATTACACAGTTTCCAATTCAGTACATTTTTTAATCAAGACTAAATTGAAGTCAGGTTCCAGGTACATATGAATATAATATATATTTAGTGAATACATTGCAAATCCCCTAGTCTAATTTTGAATGTAACTATAATAGAATAAGAAATATGAAGGTTCCTTTATTTTATAGAGGAGTGTTAAAATATTGCTGCGTCTTAAAGGCAAGTTAAAACCTATTTTCATATTTTTAAAATCACATTAGCTAAAAGCTTGTTAAGGAATAAATAGTCCAGAGGATAATTGAGACTTAGCTGGCTTAAGCAGTAATGAATCAAAATCAGATGCCAGATCATTAATTAATTCTACAAATTATAATGTTGCCATTACTGGCAAATACTATGAGAGCTAATACCAAGGAGAAAATTAAACTGCATTTTCCTTCTTACTACATATCTTTCACCAAAAAGAAAGCTGCAGTAGGTTTTTTTTGTTATTACATATTTTTTCTGTTTTAAAAAACTTTTGAATGATCATTAATTTTTAAAAATATTTCAATTTCTTTAGCATGCTATTTATAGAATCTGCCTATCATAGACTATAAGGATATTTCCATCAGTGCTGTAACTCATGGAAACTAAAATGTTTTAAAGCAAAAGTGATAGAAAAGTCAATTCAACACTTCAGAAGCCTCACAAAACTTCATGTCCCTTCAAATCAGCCTCTTTGGTAAAAGGCATAATAATAGATGGGTCTTGCAATGTGGCCCGAAGTGCCACTGTCTCAGGCTCTGTCAGACCAATGCAGAAAGGGAGTTAGATGAGAAGTGAGAGAGGCAAAAGAGAAGGTCAGCTGGACATTTCTAGCCACCACTTCTAATCCCACAAGAAGAGGAAGCTTCAATCTGTTTAAATGGCGGTGGACTTAAAACATTTTTCTGCAGAGTGTAGAACCAAGCTGGGGAATGGGCAGTGGTGGAATATCATTGAACCTTATGAAGAATAAAACACTAAATAGTGATGACATGACATGATCAGCCTAGTCAGAATAAAACTTTAGGGCCAAAATGACAGAGCTCCATTATTTGAAAACTCACGGTATTGGAACTGTTTGTCAGGTGTGGTGTATCTTTTCCTCTTTTCCCATCATGTGACAGACACCAAGATTATCTCGGATCTAGAACATGAGGGTGGTCTCAAACATACCCTAAGTGCTTTAATTAATCCTGGAGACCAATCAAAAGCAAATGTACTGCAGTACTAGTGAAATAGTTTGCTCACTTAAGCATCACTAAGTAAGTGGGTAGGTGCACTGTCCTCTGAGATTAAATTGTCCTGAAGGATCCAGCATAGACTGTCAAGTCTGATGCCCATAAGAGCGATCTGTGCCTGTAAGAAAAAGCTGTGGAAGAATGTCCCATTTTTTTCTCCATATAGATTGTTATTTTCAGTCAATTTTCTTCCTCTGTTTAATTGAAAAGAAGTCTGGGTGGATTATTTCTAGGTAAAACAGTAAGATAACCTGAAATAAAAATATTCTCGCAGTTTCCCGAAATGAATCACAGCTCAGTTTCCAGCAGGAATCTGAAACTCATGAATCTTGTTACCAAGAGCTACATTTCAACTGCAGAATAATAAGCTGGCACATTTTTTCAGCCCTCAGTGTCTGTCCACCATTAATGACAGCCAAATTTTTGCCAAATCAAATCTATCATCTAGATCAGAGGGTGTAGCACCATACTGACTGTCTTTTCTGATAGTTTCATATCTATGCTGAATAGATGAATTCTTGGTAATTTTTTACCCTTTGGGTCCTTTGAACTACCTAAAGATGTTAACCTTTGCCATGCAATAAAAATTAAACTGTCAATAGGCAACACTTTGGATAATAATGTATCCCAATATAACTATATTATCTGTCCCTCTACTGAATTCATGGCCCTTTTCCGTGTTTGGAGACAACAGATAGTACTAAAGCTGATTTATTGCAACTTTTGGCCTTCTGGCAAAATTACAGTATCTAATAATAGAGCAGTAATTACAATTTTTCCCCCAAAGTTGCTGTCTTGAACACAATTCCAGAAGAAATTGATAGCAGCCAACAATGGATGCCTATGAAACATCCTCCCTCCAAGGGCTTTTCCAGATTGCAGCTACTTGCATCTCACCAACTTCTTGAGACATTTAATAGTCCTTGAAGAATTTTTCTTGTGTGAATTTGTCCAGTCTTTCTTTTTGTTAAGATAGACAGCCAGTATGGGTCAGTCCTCTAGTTTTAGTCTCTCTGGCTACCCTGCTAGATTGGTGGAAAGATGATCGGCTTTTTTTGTAATGAGTAATGACTCAGAGGTGGAAAGGACTCTTTTTACATGGTTGAATGGCCAAGTTCATGGTGAAATAGCTGCTATAATTCTCCTGGGATTTCATATTATCATTAATGATTTGCTAGGGCACTTGAAGCCTGCAGTGCTATCCCTTAAAAGGATTTAAAATCTAAACACATTTTAAAAACTCTGCATTTGCGCTGTGTGGCTTATGTTCCTATTTTCTGACACTACAGCCCTAATTCTTTTGACACTCTGAAATCTGTCACTTTTGGAAATTATTAATGCCACCATCAACAAGGAAAACTACAATCCCAGGAACTTGTACAACTGTGGTGTGAAAGCACAGTATTCAGCTCCTGTAGAAATGTCTTTGCAATGAAACTGTCCTGTTCTTTAGCTTGTTTTCATATTTTTCCACTCGTAGAGGTTTCTTAATTACAGTAATTAATAGTTAGACCAAATTTATGCAGGCTGACAGAACCTTTATTCTAGATGGACACTGTCATGTGACGAGGGGCAGTTGGTAATGACTTTTTTTCCTTACCAAAAGGGCGTACAGTGGAAGATCACTGTTATGGCAGTCTGGGGAGAAGGAAACAAAACCACCATGCAATGAAATATCTTGTGACAAATATCTTACTGTAACTGATAAGTGACACCAAAATAAATGCTTTTTAAAAAATCCTTTAGTTACATCTTACAAGCTTTCAGCCAATTTATTGAGATAATTTGTACAGAATTGATTTTTGCGTATACTTTTATCGGATAGGCAAGCACTGACTGATGCTTAATGCACAATGGTCCTATCACACAGTGCTGTATAGTCAACAGCCACCCAAGGATTGGATGACCTGGAAAAAGCATTAGATGGGGCACAATTCTTCTCAAAAAATAGTCACGCCAATATAATGTCCCTCACAGAATCGCTAATTTCCCTATGCATGTCCCTTTTTCATCTTGGATTGTGTCACCTTGGATGCTTTTATCAGTGAATGAAAGCAACTGTATGCCAGTTGAATTAAGTTCCTATAATTAAGATAATTGTAGTGATGTAAAAAGGGAAAACTTTCTATTTGGCCACATTGTCACCAGGCCCCAAGGCTGTATCTCATGTCTTTGATGGAGAGGCTGTGGTCTATAATGCTGGTGAATTTCCCACAGCTCTGGTACTTTAGATGCTTCTGGTTTTAAACCCAGTGTCCCCAATCCACTTCTCACTGTGTCATTTTGGAATTACAAGTCATTGGCACACACCTTCAATAAGCTAGCATGGACTTTTCCTGCTATACTGTCATTTACACCAAGTGATGTCAAAGAAAAAAAAGAGAAAGGCACCACAATAGCATTTTAGACTAACAGTTTGGGGAATAATATAAATTGTAGTGGATGCAAGGAGGTTTGTTGGGTCTTTTTCTTGTTTGTTTGTTGTTGATGAGGCTGTCCTAGAAGATGAGATACAATGAGGAAAATTCTGCCACAAGGAAAGTTAATGGGAAACAATTCTGCAGTTGCAACAGGGATAGGATTTTTCTGATTGTGTATTATTCCATTCCATCCTTCCCCTCTGCCTCCTCTCCAGCACGCAGGCAGTAGACAAAGAGCAGCGCCTCTCCTATTTCAGCTGTCATTTCAAAGGAAGAAGACTGACTTAATTCCCTATCACCAGGTCACCTAATTGCTTGGCAGTCATAAAGGATAACAATTTTTATTGTTCAATTTAATTAGACAGCTTCTAGAATAAAATAATTTGAATTTTCTCATAACACCATCTCTCTCTTGGAAAAAAGATAAAAGCTTATTTCAATGGGAAATCATGGCTTGAGTCACATCCGGAAAACCCTAGCACCTCAAATCACTGAAATAAAACTTCTTTGTGTAGACAAATGCAAAACCTATCCCGGTTTCTATAAGAGCTGAGAGATATTAAGTGTTGTTTAGCTGTGTTGGTTTTTGGAAAAGAGGTTAAGTAACAAGCTAGAGAATGTAAAGAGGACCTGGAAAAACTGAAAAATATATTATGTTAACTGATTGTGGCTAAGGATAAAAGCTGTCTTTAGGATTTAACATTTCTTTAGGGTACTGCAGAACCTCACAGCTTCAACAGACACTGTAGCCACCATACAGCAAAAATACAAGTTCTGACATTTAAAAAAATCTTTTCCAGGGGTCAAGATATCTGACCTATTTACAGAAAAGGAGCAGATTGAGAGCTTGCCTGTACCGGTGCAGAAGGATGCCAACCTCAGCAGAGTTTACTTTTTTCTGAAGAGCACACCAAAACCTCCTGAAGTTCACCAGGGATTTTGTAGCTCCTTTCTGGCAAGAAATCTGCTGGTCATCTGACTTTTCCTGTGGGTATGTGTGTGATGACTAAAAGAAACAGAGAAGCAGAGAGGAAAGGCACTGAAAGGGGATGCTTCTTTACTTCAGTAAATTTACAAAATCAGTAATTTCTGGGAGGAGCTGAAATCCACAAGCCCAGTCAAGAGATTCTACACTTTACCAAAGTAGATTTTTTCTCAAAAGCTCTTCTGCAGCAATCAAAATGTATTAGTTTTTTCAAAGACTGTGGAGCTGAAGGGATGAAGTTTTCTACCTTGTTTATGGCCAGCAGGCCATACATTAGCCAGTTTGGCTAATGTATCCTCTGAAGCAGTAGCAGAGTAACACTTTTTAATTTTATTTTTTAAAATACCCTGCTAAAGCAGCAAAAGTAACTTAATCCAACTCAAGCACAGAGCACACTTGTTCTGGTATAAAACATCTTCTGGAGACTAGTGCATTTGTTTGGAAAGAAATTTAAGTTGTCCGGAGAAGAGCCACTCGAACAAGAGCATGAACTTCTCTCCAGGTGTTCTGTTCTGTTTTAAATAATGTAACTATAGGCCAGTTTCCCAAGATATCAGACTGATAAAGCCTGGTCAGCTAGGACATGAAGCTTTCCTCTCTTGGCCCTTTTTTCCTTTCCTGATAGCTAACAGTAACCCATGGAGATGTGCCTCCTTTGAAGCCAGGCATTGCTGGTGCAGTAACTGGAGTTAGGAAAATACACTGGCACTGACTTCATCTCTCTGCTCTTTTCCCCTCAGATTTGTTACCTTACAAATTGCTTGCCCATCGTATTACTTGATAAAGCACTCAGGATGTTGCTGCACTTGAAAATGGCCTGGTTTACTCCAGCCCTGTATATAAACTGTACTCTGACTCCATGCAGCTCAGAGCAGACCCACTAAAGCTAGTGGAGCTGCTCCAGTTCACCCCAACTCTAGATCTGATCCATCTTTTCTCATTTGGTTCTTTAACCAGTCCCTTTTTCTTTTTCCAGCTTCTATTCTCATCTACATTTATCAGTCCAGTACTTTGAAATTTTATGCACTCTGGTTTCATTTACTGTTAAAAATGCATCCCCAGTATCAGGCACATCATTTTCTAAGCCTCCATCATGCCAAGAGAGTTAGTAAAACATCAGTTTTTCACTTCAGTTCCCAACCCATATGTTTTCAAGTAACACTGGGGAAACATTTTTTAAAGGACAGACTCCAGAGATGTCCTCTAATATCATCAGCAATGATAAAAAAAAGCTGCTTCTGCAGAAGCCTGTGGGATTATCAGTCTCTCAAAAGGAAATTCAGCAGCTTTTCTTGCAGTAACATTTACTCTCCACCCTTACACCTCAGGCTATCCTTCACCTCAAGGTGGTGACACCCTGGACAACTCCATTTCCATATGCACTTCCTATTCAAGTGTCAAGAGGGACCCTTCATCCAGGGTAAAAAGCCCTCCTGGATTTCTACGGGGAAACACAACTGAAATGCTAATAACAGTTTATCATTGTTCCTAGGTGATACAATTATGCCTCATTTACAGTTGCAAAACAGCTCTGAGGAAGTGGGGCTTTTTTTTCCTCTCTAATTTAGACATAATTTCAGCTAGTCATGACATCAGTGTTAGGACTTAGACTTTGCCACAAAGGAACACATTGCTAATTTCAAGCTTTCTTGGCTAATTTCATTCAGACCTAGAGGTGATGCAGCCTGTTTCTGTCCTGTGATTGGCAGTGTACTGGATGTTTATGAGTATCCAGATAATGATCATCATTTCTGCAAACCTTCCAGCTAGTGACCTCTTTGTCAAGGAGAATAACATAGACCACAAAGGGGCAGTGAGTGCCCTGTTAAAAAGTTCAACCAAATACTCTCCTTGCTGATTTATCTTCAGCAATCTTATTATTTTGCACTCTGCCATTTCTCACTATTTCTCTTCTTCTCCCTCCAAGTGTTCTATTTCCTTTTCTTTTTCTTCTTCAGTTTCTCAGATGATGCCTTCAGGACTTGCTGTGCCTTCTGTCCCTCCCCACAGGATGGAAAGATTTTGGTATCACCTGAGCCACACTTCACTGTGGAGCCCAGCAGAGCCCCACAGACACTTGGAAGAGGATTATGGGTCCTTTACCACAAATCTAGAGACAGTCATCACCTGCCTTGGCTTGTGACTACCTCTTCACAGGTAATCCCTGAGATTATTGACAATGCAAACATTCGATTCCTTTGAATTTCTGTAGGGGCGAGAAAATAAGTCCTTGCTTGAGGGCATGAGGGCAACAACATGATGAAAAGCAACAGCAGCCATCCTCTGCAATGCCCCCTGGCCAGCCTTGTTCTCCTCAAACTTTTGGAAAAAAGCTTTGCAGTTGTATCCAGCCCCTGCAAGGAGTGTGAGGGAAGTGGGGGGCCAGGGCCTGTGCCAGGGTGAAGGATGCAGGGTGCAGCAGCAGGGGAGGCAGGCAGAGGGGATCTGACCGCAGCCCACGCTGTGACAGGAGAAATTGAAATGTAAATTCTGTGCCCTGGCAATAAATTTCACAGCAGCCTCATTTTCCTAGCAATGACGCCTTGGGCAGAGCCTGTGTGGGCCAGAAAGGAACGGGCTTTAAATTTTCTAGAACTCCCTAATCCTCTTTATCAGTCACTTCTCCCTAAACTGCTGCTGCTCCCTGAGATATTTAAAGCCACAGTGGCTTCTTCAATGCCTCTTCCTGGTGATTATGTTTATTCTCATCCAGTCAAGACAGAGAAACATTAGCATGTGATTTACACTGCAGGACCAATCACAAACACCAGCACTCAATATTTGAAATTCAAACAGTAGCTACTTGCAACAAACTGGTCAGGATCAATCTGGAGATGAAAAGGAGGGTTCTGCCTTTTTAGAAGGTGGTAGAGATCCATTGTCGAGGTCTGTCAGTCTTACCAGCATGTGCAATGGCACTCACAAAGTATTAATACAAGTGCCTATGCTAGGTTTAATTCCTTTCTTTTGTTTAAGGGGTTTTTCCCCCCCTTGCAACCATCTGCTTTTCCTCTCATGTTTCAAGTCTTTATATCTATCTGTCAAGCAGGCAGTGGATTCAGGACAGGTTTTCATGCCAAGGCGTTCCTTTACCTAATGAAAACAAGTGAATAAAACATAAGAGAAGTAGCTTTAAATTAAAGAGAGAGAAGAAAATCCTGAAGAAAACCAATATCTGAAGGAAAACATTTTTTCCTAGGAAAATGCCTATTGAATGGATGAATTTTTATTTATTTATTATAATTTAAGTAGGCATCTATAATTATACCCTATTTAATTAAGGATACGGATCATGTCTGGCAGAAGAGAAATATATACATATGTGAAGAGTCAAGACAATGCAGATAAACTTCTGATGGCATGACATATTCATGCAGAGTAGTCACTTTTCAAAACTAAAATTTCCTCCCAAAGGCCCCCAGTTTGTATTATTAATGACATTTTTCTTAGCCTGCATTACCATTTCCATTGGAGAGGAAAAAAGACAAAAACTTTTCTCAAGTTTGAAAGGAAAAAGCAGTCTCTGAGCCACAAACATCAAATGCTTTTGCACAAGCCTTTGAATGGATTTCATCCACATGGTTTTGTAAATGAGTAGAGTGAGCATCCACTCCTGGCCTGAAACCCTGTGCTGAGGAACTCAGAGATGAGGTGCAGCCAAATGGCAAACCTGGAGGGAAAAAAAAGCATGAAAAAAGCATTTCCCAGTGCTACACAGCAACAGCAGCCCCACACAACAGGGCCCCTTCCAGCCTCCAGAACACTGGTCCCATTTTGCAGTAGCTTTCCTGAAGTGAGTACGTTTGGACCCTGATTTAAGTCATGGGTAGCATGGAGCTCATTCAAGTCTATAATAAAGCGTTGCAAGGAGCCAGCCATTAGAGTAGTTTCAATCTGTTCCTTCAGGTTTCTGCTGGCTGCATGGAGCCTTGGATGCCATATTCTAAATGTCTGCCACTAACTAGCTGTCCCTCTTCTCTGTTTAATGTGAATATCCTGTAATTGGAGTGTCAAGCTTCTCGCTGCCACCACTGAAGAGGAGGATACGGAGGAGGAACCAGAAGAAATCCATCTTTGCTGTAATGAATGCATGCAGTTCAGACCAGACTGGGCTGTTCAGATGTTTTATTCCTCCTTTTCATCTCCTTTGTAGAGGCTCAAGCAGTACCAGAACACAGAGAACTCCTTTTAGGGCTTCAAACCCAGCAAAGATTTGCTGGGTCCACTGTGCGGGAGACAGACAGGGAAGCTTTTTTTGATGCATCTTTCTAATCTCTGTGCTTCTGGTGCTTTTTGCATATCTTGCTGGCTGTTGGTGTGGGGGCAAATGGCAGAGGCTCCCCCCTGGAAGTAGGGGCTGGGGAGCCAGTTCAGGCTACTCTGCTGCTTTGGTGAGGCCAGCACCTGCCTCAGAAGGGGTGACAAGTTGCTGGTTTTCCTGCAGTCTCTGTTGCCTAATTGTACAAGGTGGCACAAGCGTAGATGCAGTGCCCACACTGAGGCACAGAAAGCACAAGCAGGTGCTTGCTGTGGTGCTGTTAACTCATTTACACAGCTGTTTTTAGGGGCCTTGGCAGTAGCTCTCACTGGCTGTACTCCATATGGCCTCTAGCATTTTCTGTCTGTTTCATGGATGTAGAGAAGATCTATGGCACCCAAAGGCCCTGGGCTTTTTTGCCCTCAAGCTGCTACTAGCAACAGTTAGGGTCCTTAAAGAGGCAACAAGGGGACTCCATAGTGCAGAAGAAGCCCTTGTTGCAGCTTTCTGTGTGAGCTGTCTGGAGAGGAGTGTGAGGTCTGTCAGCTCAGAGTGCTGAAGGAGCACCTCCAACCCACCTGCAATTGCTTTGGTGAGGCACTGATCTGATACTGCCCTGGCCTGTGTTGGTATCACTGTGTGTGCCCACCTGCTCTGTTTGTTTGTGTGCTGTCCAGATGGATGAAAATCAAAGCTTTTGTTGTCACCTTACTCCGTTCACCTCAGTCTGAAAAGGAACCTGTCCCTACAGCTGTCTGTGCTTTCACAGGCCACCCTCACCATGATGGATACCATCTACTTACCAATGAGAAACAGGAGATTTTAGTGTTGTTTTGTTGTCTTACTTAAAGATCTGAAAGTGAATAAATCATGCATGTGTGCTGCTGCTAAAGCTATCAATCAGTTGTGTAAACATTAGACACTCGCAGAGATGTGGAGAAATTTGCATCTGTTTTCTAGGATCATACTTTCTTTTTCTTAAATGCAAGACTTACAATTTTTTTCTGGTAGTATCTAGTACTGCTGAAGTCAAAATTAATACTTGGAATGACCATCAAGTTATATTGACCATTTTCCTGCTGTTGTTCTGATCAGGCCTTTAAAACTTAGTGAATATCCTCTCACCACTGATTACATGGAATTTTCTACAGCTATTTAAACAAATCAGGCTTTTACAAATAAAAAGCAAACTCAAGAACAGACCATAGTTACCTTGGAGAGATATTCCAGATCAAGCTGAAAAAATACAGGAGTCATTTGTAGTCAGAAATATGAGTTAAGATTAGAACATTTGATTTTTTCTTAAATACATAACTAAATAAGCTTTCCTGCAGGCTTGAACAAATCATCACCAAATCCACATTTCAACAGAGAAAAGGAAAACTGGACTGGATAACTCTTACACAGGCTGGGATATTTTACATCTCCTATTCATCTATTGACTCTTTCCCAATATCACCCAGATATCTTAGAATTCATGCATTGGGGTCCAAAAATAGCTTAGGAAGGAGTACTAGATTAAAAAAAAAAAAAAAAGGGTACTTCCCTGGAAAGCAAAATTTTAAAAATATTCCATAAAAATTATTTTCTGTAGGTGCTGCAGAACATATTAAGTTAGTGATGTCTAGGTCAAAAAGAAACCATTGAAAGAGTGCTTTTATCTGCCACTTGGAGCAGAACTAGCTGCCTTTTTGCATTTAGCCAGTATGCATAATAATTTAGCTACTATGCATAATAATTTTGTGGTTCGTTATTCTATCCCATGGCAAGAAATTCCTAAAGTGAAGACCTAAGTGAAGATGTCCTTCTGATTTCTACAGGATTCTGAACTGAAGAAGGTATCACTGGCATTCCTGACCACAGCAAGCCTCAGAAAATAGCCATCGATAGCCTTGGCCTTGTACAGCTGACCCTATTTGAACTGTGATTACTTCTCCAGAATTCAGCCAGATTGTATTGGCAACCAGCATGAAGTATGAGCCCAGTCTGTCCTGAAGACTAATAACTTAGCCATGAAGATTGGCTTCACGTGCCGTGTTAATCGAGTCTCTCTTGAAGTTGAAAACGAGCAGTAATTTCCACAGGGAGTCAGAAAATTAATACAGCCCTGAACTGCACACCAACTTGCCTCTGCACTTAGTTGCCTACCTATGTGCTAGATACAAGATAGTAACAGTACCAAAATTTTTGTTTGACTTGACTTTTTCATCTATGGGGAATAATGATGCTTTCCAGGTGATGAAAGGCATCTTAGTCCTTCCATGAAATGACAGTGGGCTGGAAAGCACTGTGGTGCTCAGCCTTTGCCTTGAGCTGTGCTGTATCTCCACACATCCCAACTCATGAGCATCCAGACTCTGCCCTTGCCACCAGAGGATTGCTCATGGGTTTAAATCTCAGTGCCAGTGGGCAGGATTTTTACCAATAGCCTTCTCATGAGAGGGCAAAAGTCACAATAACTAAGTCAGGAATCTGCATGATAATATTGAGAATTTCATTCTGTATTTATTATAGTGTTCTGTTTACTGCAGTCCAGCCACTGTTTAGTCCTCTCTCACCAGCTCTGTCTCTTTTTGCTCTCTTCTCACCCCCCTGTGTTTGGTGGTTCATATTCTTAGAGATGATCACAGAGGAAATGGAGAGTGTATGCAGGATCTGCTGGGTGAATGGTGCACCCCAAGCAAACACACCGTTTATTCAGAAGTATTTCAGGCTGTTTGCAGGAGCCAAGAGAATACTGATTTCTGATTGTGCTTACCTCTTAAAGGGGAGCACACAAATCTCTGTGGTAACTTTCCATTTCAATGCCTACTGAAAGAAATCGGTTTTGGGAATTGCCTTTCCCTACTTGTGTAAAAATCCTTTTGTGCCATTAAGATGCATTGCAAAGAGAAACAAGATCTAGAGGCTTGCTGAGGCACTGTTTTCACTACCCAGTAGAGTTAGTCTCATTAAAATGGACCTCGTCTCCTCACTGCTCCTGCACATACTGTCAGTTTATCACAGATCATCTGACATCTCCAAAATGGAAAGCATGACGTAAAGCTGGAAAAAGAGCTCGAGACTGAAAAAAGTCAAAATGAAAATTGCAAAGACTTTGGAGTAACGGGGAGCAGGAAAAGATGGGTGCATCCAAACTTGTCAAGTCTTCAGGGTACCTATATATGCCAGCCAGAGGGAGCAGTAAGTGTTCAGGGCTGTGTACCACTCTCTGCCCCTGGCCAGCTCTGCAAGGAGCAGTGCCCAGTCCCAGAGCCATGCATACCAGAGTAACCTTCTTAGGAAAACCCTGCCAAAGAACCCCCTTGCAGGAATACCAATCTGTCTTCCCCCACCTCAGCTGAAAGAGCATGGACACAGCCACGAGAGGCTGCAGCTGGCAGAGGCTGCCTCCCACCATCCTGCCCAGACCCCTTGCCCACACAGAGCAGACCAGCTCAGGTCTCTCAGGCAGTTCTCAAGGGCAATGGTCCCGAGTGCTGGTTTACCCTTGAGTTTTGGGCTAGGAGCTAGGAAACAGGAGTGCCTGGATGAAAGAAGACAAAATAGCCCCTCAAGACCTTCTCTGGGTCAATGAGGAGTGCAAATCCTGCGTTCTGCCTGACAAAAGGCAACAACCAGAAAACTACCAGGAGACAGAGGGGACACTGAGAAAGCCCTGGATGCACAGTGCTTGTGGCTGCAGGCGATACAGGGGTGGGGTCAGGGCAAAGCACCCTGCCTTCCAGGGAAATGTCCCTCACATCAGCTGGGAGATGACAGCTGCTAGCAAAGAGCAGCTGCTGACTTTCCTCCCATTGCTGGATTGCCTTAATTGCATTTCCACAGCGCTCAGGTGGGCTCAGCGAAGGGTGGATGGATGGGCAAGGATGGCCACATGCTGCTGGGAGCTTCCAAGGTGGCCTCACTTGGGTGGACACTCCCTCCCTTCACCAGAATGGAAATGCCTCCAGAAGGAGCTTGCTGTGGGAGATGTAATTTCTCCTGTTGGTTTTCATGTGACAGCAGTAAATTCTTTTAATGCTCCTTAAGCTGAATTTTCCACGGTCAGTTTTCCTTGGAGACTGTTTTTGCATGTATTTCCTCATTGCCTGGACAAAACCGAGACAGATTTGAAGCCAGACCATTGCAATAACTCAGCTCCACATAACAAGCAAGGTTCAGTAGGGGTGGGAAAAACAAACATTCTGTGGATTGACAGCAAGAGAGATTTAAACAGTGAAGTAGAGCATCATACTCTGTTGGGGACTTCAGTGAGGAGAGGCTGTGGTGCAAAGTAGTCCCTTTCTATAGGTATGTGTGTATGTATATATGCATGTGTGTTGAATACTTAGATTACCTACCCTTATTCAATGTGTAAAATGCACAGGTATATAACTGGAACCCAAGACTTTACCTCTGACAGTCCCTCTGCTCCTTCAGATAACTTTGTCCCAGACTGTCTTGCTGGAAAAACAAGCAAAAAGACAAACCAACCCCAAGCCAGCATCAGCAGTACAGAAATAGCAAGGCTTTCTTATAAACTGCCATTCAAGGGCGCTGTAATTGAATGCATGGGGCTGTGCTGTGTGCTTCCCTGGGGAATTCGCCTCTCTGTCTCCCTCCCGCAGCAGCCTTTGACACGGGGAGAGCAGTTTTCCAGCAGGAGCAGCTGGCCCTGCCCGCCCTGTCCTTCCCCCAGTGGCACCATGCCCTGCCTTCCCCAGCAAAGCTCTGCATAGGGAGCTGAGGAGGACCTTAACCAGGGAACAGGAACCTTGCCTGGAGGATGAAGGCTGAGCTCACAAAGCCCAGAGGCAATCCCAGGCCGGGAGGTGTTGATTTTGCTGTTTCCTGCATTTGCAGGTGACACCAGTTAATGTGTTCAAATGGCTAGCGTGTCATTAAAGGAAAATGAGATTGAAATGAAGGATTCTGGATGGGGGAGGCAAGCCCCTTGAATTCCTTGCTGTAAATGCTGGGTTTGTGAGTGAGCCACTGCCACCAGGTTCTTTGGAGGAAAAGCCTAGCTAGTAATTGGAGAAAATGGCATGACACAAAACTCTCCAAGCGCTTGGCCTGAAGGCTGTGTGTCCATCAGAGGAAATCACAAAGTCAAAACAGACACTGTGTAATTTCTCTGTACTTGCATTAACCATATCCTCAGCACTAGCAGTGTGGTTCACTGTAGTGTAATAAAGCACTTTATTCCACACCATCACAGCTAAGTATCCTCATCAGAGAGAGAGCATCACAGTTGCTAGAATTCACTTTTCCATTAAGGAGATTGTGCATCTTACTAAGACATTGGTCCATAGCTCAGCAATGTTTTGGTTTTTTAAAGAGGGCAGAGCTTGGTTACAAACATTCACCCTCCCAGCCCAAGAGGAACTTTTAATTTAGTAAAAAACAAAAAACCTCTTTCATTTCTACTGTTTGGCAACTGCCTTGGTAAAATATTTTGTTTAAATTACAATGTTAATCCAGTTATTTCAGTGCACAAAAATTGTTCCTCTCTAGGCACCAGAACAGGTTTCCTTGTGAGGCATCATTGCATTAACTCTTTGGGAGCCCTAAAATCAACAGAGCTGTCAAGGTATGGATCTTTGCTTTGTTTGACCTGGAGCACTGTCTGAAGGTTGGCCAAAATAAAATCTGAACTGGACTCTTCTGAGAGGTGCAGAAGGATAGGAGAAGCAGCAATGGATACAAATTGGTATGCAGGAAATTTGAATTAAATATTTGAATTTTTTTTTTTTTTTCACAGGAAGGGAAGTCAAGATACTGGATCAAGAGCCCACAGAACCTGCGGTCTCCATCCTCAGCAGTGTAAGGACTCTATATGGTCAATGCTTGGCACAACCTCATTTAATTGGTGCTGCTTTGTGCAGGTGATTCTTGAGTCCCTCCCAGCCTGAATTATTCTGTGATTTTGTCATCAACACAGAGAACAAGGGAAAGGGGACAGCAGCATAGGCAATTTTACAAGTGTTTAATATTCACCATACTCCAGAGAGAGAGACCAAGCTGGTTCCCCAAACTTCCTACGCTGATAGCCTGATACCAAAGTACATGTGGATGCCTGGGAGCTGCACCAGCTGCTGAAGGGGGCAGCAGGGTAAGAACATTCTTTCTCCATGTTTGGGAGCCTGGGGGGGGTTGAGGGTTTTTTAAACATTTTTTGTACCCATGGGCATTGCCACATGCCCTTTGGAGCCTCATATGTGATGTCTTCGTGGAGTGATGCTGAGAGCTCTCTGGCTGAAAAGTCCCAAGGTTGGTGTCACAGAGCCAAACTGTTCTCTCAGGTCTGCTCCAAGCACTCTGAGGTTTGACTGGTTGGGTATAGCCAAGACCACAATTAAAAATGAGGATTTTTGCAGTTCATTTAACTGGTAGAAATTTCTGCTTGCTTTTTAATCCTTGAAGAAATTTTAACTTCTTGCTGACATAGGTCCATATTATGTATCTGTAAAGGCAGTAAAACAACATACGGATAGCTGTTAATGCTATAATAGAACCTCAGTGATAAGCAAGAGTTACTGTGAGGCCACCTTAAACCCTGCTGAAACTTAAATGCCAGGTTGTTATTGTGGCTTGTTTTCTCTCACTTCTAGCTGCATTTTACTGTTTGGTTTCCTAAATCTCAGCAGCAAAAGGACAGCTTAGCTCCCTTGAAGACTGTGCTGCTCTGAAATTATGACTGTTGCTGTGGGGGAAGGGGTTGCACTCTCTGTGACATGATTTGTAGGACCCTCTATAAATCATTTACCAGCATGCCTTCACTGTAAGCTTACAGTTTGTGGAGCTTTAAGAAATGTAAGGAATAACAATGTGCAAAGGAAGAAAAACCAAACCAACAGAGGAAGAAATGGACATCTCTGAAACCCTTGCCTGGAAAACCAAAAGTCTGTATTTAAGTCACAGGGACAAGCACTGGAAGCATTTTAATGGGTGAGTGCCTTCCTGCACCACCACCACCATGTGTTGTAAAAATTGCGGCTTCGCGGCTTCCGAGCAGACGGGGAGGGGGCTTGGCCAGCCCTGCAGGAGCAGAGCAGCTTGTGACCCTTGTGTCTCCCTCTTGAAGTCCTTAATAAATCATCCTGCCCTGCTCATAAAGTGGAGTTGAGCAGCAAAACAAAGGCCTGAGCATGCAAACCCAATTGGAAAATCAAGGTATGCTAAAAGCAGAGGGCAATACCTTCCATTTCTGTCACAGGGCAACACCCACGTGTGGCTGCAGATAACACCTGAGCAACCACTGGGGAGCTAACATGGAGGTTGCATGGCATTTTTCTTACTGCTGAAGAAGATGTCTGGCATAATTCTTATGCCAAATGGAAATGCTGATACAGATTTTAAGTGATAATTAATGTCAGTCAGCATTCTTATAAATGGAAATCCTGTCTCAAAAAATATTCCTTTTTTTGATGATGGATTTACTGATTCAGCAATCTTTCTTTCCTTGTCAGGTGCTTCACTTAATACTGTACAGTGAGATGGTTAAAAAATAAGCACTCCACAATATCAGTAAAAATTGCATTAAATGAAGAAGTGAGGTGTTTTTAGTGAGATTCAAACAGAGGTGTTTCTGCTGCAGGTCAGAAGTGACCAACATATTGAAAGCATTTTCTACCCAAGCTGCACCTAAATGAGGTGAGAGTTCTTCCTCAAGGATGGGGCAAACAGTACCAAATATTCTGATGAAGCCAAGGAGTTAATTTCCCTCCATTTTATTGGCTGAAAGAGAGACGCCCTGGCGATTCACTCTATGATCTCCCATGGACTACAGTCCTTTCCCAGGGCAGATCTGCTGTGGAGCTGGAATCAGAGGAACTAGATCAGAATCCTCTATTTGGTGATAGTGGAAAAAAGTGCTTCAGAGAAACTGTAAATCATGTAGAAGATGGTGCAACATTTCGTAAGGTAGGCTCACTCAAACAAATTGTATCTAAATACAGGCCTGTGAAAAGGGTAGGGATGCAGAGTGGAAGCCACTCCTAGAAATGGAAAAGCAGGGTAATCCCACAATATCAGCAATGGTTTTAAAGTCATAATGCAGAAGCAGCTGAAGACGAATTGTGAGGGCAAAGCTGCACTAAAAGGAGGTAAATTAATTTCTATAGAAAAAGAAAGGAATGTGAGCAGATTTAGGCATGGGCTTCTTAGGTTGTATATAGTTGAGGCCATTTCCTGATAGCTCAGCTCCGCAGTTTATCTTTTTTAACAAGGGTGTAGCAAGACAGGAAAAAAAAACCACCACAGCAAGTGCCACAAAAATAGTTTAAGATCTGAAGAAAGTGCTCTAAAGTAAAAAACAGAACACAATCTGTTTAGCCTATCAAAAAGAAAAAAAAAAAAAAAGAAAAAGATTGAAAGGTAACTTGATTACAGTGTGCTATTAGTGAGCCATGAAGGGTTTTAGCATGGGAGGTAACAAGACCCAGTAACTGGAGTCTCAAGAAAGACAAATTGACAGAATAAGAATACATTTTTAAGAAAAAGGGGCTAAAGCTCTGAACAAGGTATCAATAGAAGTAACAAATCCTCCAGCTCTTAGTGTCTTCTGATCAGGACATACAGCTGCACTTCAAGCAGAATTCGTATTTTTGTCAAACACGCCATTGCTATCTCCCTAATTTTTATGAAAGTCTCCCTTTAGCATTTCTAATGGCTGAGACCTTTTGTAGCAATAAATAGAAAGGAATAACAGAAGAGCCCAGAAATTATTCCCCAGAATATTTTTAAGTACTCAGTAATTACAGGAAGTATTAAATAATTGAAGAGAGTAGTTTGCACAAAACCTCTGGTCTGCATTCTTTAAAAGAAATTCCTGGCTCACAATTCCTGGCTTCTTTCTCTCTGCTCCTTGCAGAATCATTGGCAGGAACACAACAGCATTTAGCAGGTTTTTCCCAGTGCTGCAGCTCTTGATGGCAGAGACTGAGGCTTCGGAAATGCCCTAGGAAGGCTGTCAGGAGCCAGTGGGCATGGGGCAGTGACAGCAGACTTGCAGGCCAAGACCAGCCTCCCTACCAGCTTGTGTGATAGCTGCTCTAATCACCACTCCCACACACCTTAGCCCAGGTAAGACTCAAGGGAACATTTCCTTCTGCATTTATGCCAGCATTAATACTACAAATTTTGGTTTCTCTTGTCCAAGATATCCAAGATACAGAAACTGATCCTGCCCGTGGGATACAGGATTCTCTTTTCAAGAAATAATATCTAGACAATGATCAAAGGAATCCATAGTCAGTGGATTAAATGGGAGCTGTGGATGCTGGCTTGTATTAGCTTCCAATTGAGTGTCTGCTGCTGATTTTGAAGTGCCTAAACTAAAGACACAAGAGACTGAAAATGTTGCCTAGCTGTGCTTGATCTCCATGTCCCAGAGGAGTAAAGAAAGCAATAAAAACTAATACTGTCAGGAACTGCAACATGCCCCTAGTGACAATGCACAGGGAGCAAGAAAAGCAGAGTAGGAAGCTGTTGCCCCACTGTGGTGGTTTGACCAGGAAGGAGTGGGAATTCTGGGATGCTGTGGTCAAACCAATGGATGTTCTGAGTTTCATACTGACACCTGGTGTAGCCAGTGAAGTTTGGACACACCTCCGAGAATACACAGGGGTTAAAAAGCAGGGCACTGCCCTTGGCAGGCTCTCTTGGGACGTCGCTGCGAAGAGGTCAGATCACCCTCCCCTGTCCAGCCTTGCTGCTGGGCGGGGGAGGGGCAGCCATGCGGTAGGCCCGGGGCCTGGACAGAGATGGGGGTGAGAAAGCTCTCAAGGATGGAAGGGTGGAGGAGCCCCAAGAGACATCGGGCAGCCATTCCCCCCCCCCCAGGAGGGAGAGAGAGGGAGAGTCGGCGAGACGGAATGTGATAGCAGCCAGCCCAGGAGGAGAAAGGGGGGGAAGGGTGCAGCCCGGCCGGCCGCAGCAGCAGCACGTGTGGGAGTATCATCGTCCCGGGACAGACAGAGACTGAAAGCTTTAACCCCTTTCTTTCATGATTGGGGCCTTGCAAAAAATGCTAATCCTCCTCGAAGCTGAATAAGAAGGGAGATGAGAGATGAGATGAGACAAGGACCTGGCCCGAAGAACGTGGAGATGATTGAATGGGGAGAGATGATTTGGAGTGGCCTTTTGGCTGGACTTTTCTTGTGGCCATGGACTCAGTTGTTCCTGTGACACAGAGACTGCATTTAGGGGGAAGCAGTGGCTCAAAACCAGGAGGGTTCATTCGTGAGGACCCCCCGGCCCCAGGGGGTTGGAAAAATATGGGGGGGACAGATGTCCCAAAGCAGAGACTGTGCCTTTTTGGAGTGAGACAAGGCATCCTTGAAAGACAACCCTAAAAGCAGCTCTGGTCCATGCGTCAGTGGTGAGAGCACTGGGCATGGAAGGAAGATGTCACAAGCGGCAAAAGGACTTTTTCCGGGCGGTGCCGAAGTGACAGGGAAGCACACGAGGTTTCAGTGTGTTTCCAGGAGAAGCCTATGGAACAAGAAGGACTCCTTTCCTCTTCATGAACTGAAGTTTGAGTATACTAAAGTGTCGTGCCAGGCTGGGCAGTTGGGTGTTTTGAGAGAATGTATCGGATTGGGAAAGTCAGGTAGTGGGGAGGAGGAAAGTGGTTTTTGTAAGGTTTTCAATTTTTTTTCTTTTCCTTATGGTCTTTCCCTATTTTCCTGTAGTTTAGGTAATAAAGTGTTCTTTATGTTTTAAGCTAAAGCCTGTTTTGCTTATTCCTGGTCACATCTCACAGCAGACACCAGGGTGAGGGCATTTTCATGGGGGGCACTGGCTCTGTGCCAGGCTCAAACCATGACACCCACTCACCATGTTCTTGTGCAAAATCATGTTTTGCACCATTTTTAGGGTGACTATAGAATTTATTCTAAAGGTATAGCAGGAGCTATGGAATGGTGAGTGTGAAAAATAGGAGAGAGACAAATGTAAGCTAGGGAGCAAATTATAATGTAGCTGGGAAAGAGACTGAGAAAAGTGCTGGAGCAGCAGATTAATGCTCAGGGACACCCTGACGTGAATTCTGTGATAGAGAATGAACATTTGGGACTGAGATGTTTGAACTTCCTACTCAGATTCCTGCAGCCAGCCTGAGTTTGCTGATTTGATTAAGGATTCACTGTGCCCATGTGAATTTAAATTGATTTCTCATTGCAGCATGAATCCCTCCCTCCTTCCCTCCCTCCCTCCCTGCAAGAGAAAGCACAGCAGCTGAAGTCACCTTTACAAGTCATGCTGACATGGGAGAAGGAAGCTAAATGGGAGAAAGAGGCTTATGGGATAATGAGCAAATATTTTTTAATTAGTGGTGAACTGAGAATTTCTCCTCTTTTTTTGCTCCAGATACTGGCTGGCAGAAGAGAAGGAGGGATGGGTTTGGAGAGCACTAGGGTGAATGGGATTCCACCAAGAGTCTTTGCTGCTCCTGTGAGCCCTAATCTATCACAACTGGGTCTCCTTCTTGCTCTGATATGCGCAATTTTCATTTTCCCCTCTCTGCTGCAACAGGTATTAATTTAAAATTCTCACAGGCACAACTTTGGAGGCCTCCTAGTTTCCAAAGGTGAAGTAAGCCAGGTGAATCATGCATTCACCCTAGAGGTGACAGGGACTCTTTTCTGACTGGTTTTCCCTTACCTTTAACCTCATTCAACCCTCCAGTATCATTGATGCATTAGTGAAGTGCCTCAAATCTGCAAGTGACATAATTTGCTTGAAAATCAGCATTCTCCATCAATAATGAAACCAAAAACATAGCTTTATAGACAACAAGGCTGGAGCAGCTGGCAGTGCTGCACAAATCTGGCACTCTTGCTGCTGAGTTTATTAGACGTTTTATAGTCTTGGGAACTAAAGATAATGGATCCCATTCCCATATGCTGCATCAACGAGAGCTGGGACTTCGCTGTGCCATTGATCTATGAGGCAGCAGTGAATACAACCCAGACACAAATGCTAAAATGAATCAATCCTAAGCTGTTAAAGAGACACCACGAAGCACTTTCCAGTTTTCTGTTCTTGCTTTCTAATCTCCATTCCATGAAATACTCTCCCAAGGGCTTTTAAATACAACAGTTTGCTGCAGAGTTTGGGATCAGGTTGAGAGGAATTGCCCCGTGGATCAAAGAATAGAGATGAAATTTAGAGCCCATTACCCTTAGTAGGCACTTGTGAGCTCCACCCATTCCCTACGAAGCAAAAAGCTTTTGGAGATTGCTTAAATTTTTGAAGAGTGCTGTGTGATTATGTTCATACAGGTTTACTATAGGGTTCATAAGCTATTCTCCTTGGATGACCGGAAGACAAACTTTGATTTGTTTCCAAGAACAGAAAACTCTAAGTATCTGCAGCCAAGAGAATTAAGAAAAAAGTTGAAGCAGACTTTAGTCTGAGCCTGACCAAAAGCAAGTAGTACTCAGGTGCTAACATTGCCTACTGCAGAAACTATGATACCTTCCAACATTAGCATGTGAAGCTGCCGTGGTAGCTGCAGTCTGAAATCCATTTCTGTTGAATCCACATCAATGTCCTGTGTTTTAGCCATTTAACATACCTAACACTCAATATCCACAAATTGTTTTAAAGCAAGCATGCAAGGAAAGGAAAAAACTCTAAAATAGCAGCCTCTAGACTGACACCTGAAATATGAAACAGAGACAAGAGAAAAATGCTATGATATAAAATCAGTTTTCCAAGCAAGGAGAGACAGTCTGGCTGTGTACACAAAATGAAAGTTTCACCGAGACATTATCGCATAAAATAGTTTGTATAGTTCCAACTTAAACACAGGGTTATGGAAAGGAAAGACAATCAACTCCCTCCTCCTGATTATGGATGCCAAGAGGAGCTGATGATGGCCTCAGGCACTTTTGTTGCTCCATATGCCCAAAATCTCTGCAAAAATCACATCAAGTGGCATTTGGTATTTAACCTTGCTGTGCCTTTTACAGCAGGAAATAATGCTACTTGGGTAAAACAGCCCCACAAAATCGTGAGTGTTTTCCAGTAATTAGTCAAGTAAATAACTAAAAAATGCTAGGTGGAGAACTAAAAAAGAGACTAATGTATTCATTAGTATGGTAAATTATTTTCTCTTATATGTATCTGAATGGATGGCCAAATAATGAGTCTCTTAGATTTGTGGAGCATCTCACACTGTGGAAAGGACCTGATTGCTGTGCACATTGCATCGTTCTGTTAATTTGGACAATGAAACCCAACAGCTGTTTAACAGCACACCCCAGTTTACAACCTGAGGTAGGAGCAATGTAATTATTTTGAGATAAGTTAGACTGTTAATGCTAGTATTTGGATTTAAGAAATGAGTTTCTCAATGGCTTCATGAAATCCAGACTTAGCTTGCAAGAGCAAAACAAAAAAACTAGGTTCAGGGAAGAACTCAAGCTTTGCATGATTCATGCAAATAATGTGGCAGACATTTTATTGGTGCTGGTCAAGAAAAAAATGCATTTCAATTTTTAAGACTAAATAAAACTTATTAGGAAAGCTTCCCATTAAGGATGCTCCTTTGTAGGTATGGTAGCTGTTCAAACTTTTGACTCAAAAGAATACAAGAAAAACAAACTTAGGTGCAAGGAGAATAATACAAATACTGGGTTTGCTAAAATACTGTTACCCTAAAGAAATCATCTGGAAACTATAGTATAGATGATGATTTGGTGAAAGTGTAAAAGAGAAGTTAGCGGAGTTCAAATTGAAGTATCCACCAGCAGCCAGGCTGTGATTGACACATGCAATACCTTATGTGAACAACTCAAAGGGTTCCTGTCAAAGTTAAAAACAGGCCAAAATAATTTTATTTGTTCCTACAAATAAGCCATGTTACACTTATTTGAAATACATTCTTTTTCACGTTTTTCTTAAAAAGCTTCCTTTTTAAACAATATAGCCATTATCTGAACACCTGAGGCCCAAAACACTGCTCCCATCACATGACTGTGCTTCTTACCCCAGTATGTAGATAGTCATAAACATATGCCCTAACTACAGGCTACCACTTCACACCAGGAAAACCTCATGTGCTGAAGAGAGAGGTGAGCGTCACACCACACAGTCCAGTGTCCAGAACAAAGGGGATCACATGAACAAAGTTTTATCCCTAAATCTGGTACTCACATGTTGCCATGGACAAGCTGAGCTGATGATTCCCGACTCATTACTGCCACAAGCTCGGGTTGGAGGGATTTAGGTTTGCATGCAAATGATGCCCATGGCAAAGGGTTGCAACATGCAGAGTCATGAATTGGCTGCATCCTGGAAAGGTAGAAAAATCATGAAATGCAGTTGAACTGCAGTAACACTTGTGTTCAAACGCTGCTAAAATAAAAAGCTTCGTGAAGCTCAGACAAGAGATTTAGTTGGGATCCTGGAAAAAACCCCCAGTTTTCCAAGATTTGAGAGATTTGCTTGTAATTGTTTTCCTATTGGACTTCTTCTTGCACCTGTCCTCATCCATCCATTCAATTGGGTTCCATTGCACAACCCTCCTGTTCTCATCCTGG